CACATAGGTTGCATAACTGGGATTTGAACGCGTTACTTGCGGACCCGGAGGCCAGAGTGTTAACCACTGCACTATCGACTATCGGTATGCCGCTGGTCAGATAAGTTTGATAACTAAATAAGAGCAGCTGAGAACGGTCTTTAACTCATTGGCAGTCTCTTGCGATAAAATGCCGCTGAAATCACTAGACTCCAAGGGGTTAAAGCACAATCGGCTTCAAAATACCAGACAGGAAACAAGAACCGATGAACTGCCAAGAGGCCTTGAAAACTGTATGACAGACGGGATGGATTCTGCGCTTGTCGGTCACTGTGTCGGCTGGGAGGAATTGAAAAGCGAGTCCAGACGCTAGAAGAAAAGTAGAGCCTACTGACGGACATCATGATGGCTATTCTGAAGCACATCAAAATAGAATTACTAAATAATCCGCCAAATTTCCGATCGATAAGCGACGAACATCCTATTAATAAAGGAACTGGCGCGGAAAACTCGAAACCAGTCAGGAAGATGAAGCGAGTTATGTCTCCAGGGGAAACTCCAGACAAATCACTTCCGGTGGATAACGTGGCGGTTGACACCAATGCATTAAAACTAAGTCGGGTTTCATTACTTGCTATAGTAACTAAACCTGCCAAGTCATCGAACACTAAAGTTGGGAAAGCAAGGATGACCTTCAAAAGGTCTGTTAGAAGATACAAGGACTCGCCGTTATTCTCGGCAGGTAACGCTGTTACTCCACTTCACCACAAGGCTTACTCATCAGGAAAGTGCCCTAACCGCTCCCTTTATAGATAGATAGATAGATAATTTTTATTAAAGACCCGTCGGGGTCCCATCAAAGCAAGTTAAAATAAATTTACATGCGAGTTTTAGATGAGGTAGGCAGAATCTTTACAAAAAGCTATTCATCGTTTCTAAATTAGTAGTCCATTGGGAAACATGATTAGTGAGGGGTGAAAAAAACACTCCTTAGAAAAAGTTAAAAATGAGTGGGTTAATATTACAGGAGAAAAAAACACCTCAATAAAAATAATGACAGAAAAAAGCGAGCAGGACTGGCCTTTAGGTGGCGGTATATAACGGAATGTTGTCGGTCATCGTCAGGGTAGCAATAAATGTCAGCCCTGAGGGGTACGTATGCGGGTCAGACAGGACTGGCCTCCGTATGGTATTATATACGGGATTAACACTTGTCATCGTCTGGGCCGGATTGATACGCCGCATGAGACTATTCGCGTCAAAGAGGCCAGACGAGAGGAACCGAGATGCGATCGGCCACAGCACGCTTCGAGCTCAGCCGAGCAGTGAGGAAGGGAGGTACGACCAAACTACTAGTAGACAGTGAATACTGAGGGTTCCGCCGTGAGCGTCGACAGACCGCATGAGGTCGAAATGCGGGAGATGACATCAAAAACCGCGAAAATTGCCGCTATCGGGGGGGGGGGGCAAGGATAGCAATGGATTTAGAAACCAATTCAAAACAGGGGTTTCTAATGATATAATTAAGAGTTACCACTTAATCAACCACTAAATCCCAGGAGGACCCTTCTCGAAGTCAAGAATCTGAGTGTTCGGGAATGAGACCGTTAACAGTGCGTTTATGCTTACCGGTGTAAGATGTTTGCGTAATTTCGACTTGAATACCAGTAACTTAGGCGATAATCTAATTTCAGGCGGAAGATTATTCCAAAGGAAGGCATATTTGGAAGCAAAGAAGAGGGAGCGCTTAGATGTAGTACAAAGAGGCGGCGGAATCACCATGCAGGAGTTGCGCGTGGCATAAGACCGATCTCTCGGAGTGAGAGTGTCAAGGAGCGGAAGACTGGAGTTAGAGTTGATGCGAAAAAGGAAGCAAAGGCCAGCTTCGAGTCTTCTAACCCACAAAAACTTCATGTTCGCCAGCTTACATCTCTGAGTATAAAAAATACTGGACGAAGCTTGAGAGAACAGTTTCCGGGTGAAAACCCTCTGAACATTTTCGATTTTATTACGGTCGCAGGCGTTCATTAAACCGAAGAAAGGACAGCAATATTCGAGGACTGGAAGAACAAACATTTGATAAAGTCTTAGCTTCATTTCCGGAAGGAAAAAATTATGCGATATGAATTCGCATATCTGCGCGGCTTTGGCCGAAATTCTATCTGCATGAGGTGATAAAGCAAGTTTATTTGTATAACTTAGACCTAGGTCCTTTATGGTGAGGCATTCTGAGAGTGGGTTATTCTGAAAAATTATGGGACCAGGAAGTTTGGTAGGACCAAAAGACATGAAACTACACTTGGATGATGAAAACTCCATCTGCCATGTCGAACCCCATCTGCTTAAGCGTAGTAAATCGGCATTAATTTTTTCAACACAAACATTTGCGGTGTCCTTAGAGTATGAGTAAACACACTTGAGGTCATCGGCATAAGTAAAAGTTTGCGAATTTGCGAGTTCAGTCGAAATATCATTGATGTACAGAAGGAAGAGTAGCGGACCCAGAACCGTGCCTTGAAGTACGCCACTCGTGATCGAGTGAGGTCTCGAGTAGCTATTTTCGACCATGACTTTCTGATATCGGTAAGACAGATAAGACCTGATGAAGTCGAGTAGAGGCGGCCGGATGCCGAGAGCTTCCAATTTTACTAAAAGACGTCTATGGGGCACCTTGTCAAAGACTTTGCTAAGATCAAAGTAAATAACAACCACTGACTGCCGCTCATTATGAAGAGAAGTGATAAGATTAAGAAAAGCCAAGTGGCGTGTTTCGCAGGATCGTTCAGGTAAAAACCCATGCTGACTAGAGCTCAGAAGCCGATTAGCTAGACAGAAGTCAAGAATTTCATTGAAAATAATCCTTTCAAGAAGTTTTGCTAGAGACGGCGTTTTGTGCACGCCCCGAT